ATATGAAAAATAAAAATGTCCCTTATAAAATATAATGAAAACCTTCGCGAATTTGTTTCGCACCCCACTTAAGGGTTTCTATTTAATCGGTAATCTTTGTACAATCTATAAAGCACAGGGAAAGTTGTGCCCAGGATCGTGTTGCACGCTGAGTTGAGAACAATAAACCCCTGTTGCACAGTTGTTCAAAACTGCCATTTAGTGTACGTAATTCACTGGAGCCTTCATTTTTCACTTAACTCGATTAATTTTTATTTTTTTTTTATGAACGCTTACAATATTTGCAAGAGACCAGTTGAACCGGATTTCTGAACTTTAATTGATTATATTAAATTTGTTAGTGCAAAATGCATAAAAAGTAGCAATCTGAAGAAAATGTTCCACCTAATAAATGTTACATAACAAAAACTTGTTGAAAACAAATGTATGGTTCTCCCAAAACAAAAAAAAATACAAAAAAATTGGTTGAAGAATGAAGTCTCCGGTGCATTATGAACATTAAATTCCAATTTTGAACCACAGTATGCTGGCTTCGTCGTGCAGTATGAATTACGGTAAACGCATTTTGGTAACAAAGGATGGCGAAGTCCTTGAAAAGAATCTGGCTTAATTTTTCACTATAGCAGAGGAACTTGTACAATTAAATAACATAATAAACTGGTAAATATTTGATTTAAATGACGATATGGGTAAGGTACTCTTATCATACAAGTTGTATGTACGTATTCCCAAATCATTAAAAAAAATGTCCTTTATTTTACGTTGGTTAATATGGTCACCGTATGTATACCTACTACGATCTGCTCGGACTTCGTTGTATTTTCAGCTTGGTTCGTCTCCAACGTTTTTCTGTCTGCGATTTCGACCGTTTTTGCCAATTTCGATTATGCATGTGCAGTGTGCATGTATTGCTATTGTAATTTCAGTATTGTCCGGTGTAAACCCTAAGTAAGACTCAAAATTGCTGCAAATTTTTAACCACTGCATAAATTACATAGGGTTGTTCACTCTTGCCTGGTTATCAGATTATGTGTTTATGTGGTTATATGTTTTATTCAGTTTACAACAATAAAATACACTACACAATAATAATTTTTAAACAAATAACCTGATAACCAGGTAAGCGTGCATAAATTACATAGTCAAAAGTAAAGTTAATATAAGCGAGGTGAAAGGGATAAAATAACATGTAAAAACGTAGGTAGGTTACATTAAATGTAAACAATTTCAGTTGCCTTCCCGTCGATAAACCACTTCGCGATATTCTGCATTTGAATTACAAAATTACGTTAAATTAGGATTTCGATTATAATACTTAATATAACTCGCTGAATTATACACCCGTATGCTGTAATCCGAAAGTTCGTAGTTACGAATTCGTAACTGCCTGCCGAAAATTCGGAAATTGGTATATTGTAATCCGATAGTAACCAACTAAAATAGTGAAATTCGAAGTTCTTAATCAGCTGCAGGTGACAGAAATGAATCAAAATAAATATAATCGCAAGTGAACAGTGAAATTAAAAAAAAATTGTTTAATCGTAATTGAAAAGGCCTTTCCTTAATTAAGTAAAATATAATGGATTCAGTGGCCGGTGCACTTTTGTCTCAGGAGAAAGAACGTGCTGCAGCCAACTGTTGCATTAATATACAAAGCAGATTGCTACGAGACAGTTCTGATCCATTTAGCTTAAATGATAAATGCATGCTCCCTCTTTTTAAGGGCCTCCATTCAACTAGATATTGTGCCGCTTTAATTCTTGCAACGCTTTCATCTTTTAGGCGCATCAATATTACATAGTTACATCCCGAGCTAATAAGAGGAAGGTAAAAATGACAGCTACGTCGGATTCAGGCATACTAACATTACGAATTTCGAAAATGGCCTACGAATTTCGAGACTACGACACGACAACACGGATTTCAGCATACCAATTTTAAGATTCGTAGCAAAATCGAATCTACGACGGATTACAGCATAGGGGTGATATACTCATACTCAGAGACCCAAAATAACAGTTATGCCTTCTTTTGGAGGTGGAAAACGTTGGCCGTAGGACAGTAAAAAAACTTGTATGTTACTTTATAAGAGTTATTCCCAAAACTAAAATTTGTTCGTTGGTCATAATTCTTATTTTCGACTTTTTTGCTTTTACGTCGCTCAGTGATAGTTATTCTCAAGACAAAATGTTTTCCGTTGCTCATAACTTTTATTTTCGACGTTATTGAATTTACGTTGCCTGGTAAGAGTTATTCCTAAGACAAAATTTTTTCCGTTGCCCATAATTTTTATTTTCTACTTTTTGCTTTTTACGTTGCATGATAAGAGTTATTCTCAATGAAAATTCTTTTTCGTTGTTCATAACTTATATTTTCGACTTTTGTCTCTTTTTTAGTTCCTCGTAACTTTTATTTTGAAGTTTTTTGGTTATGCGTTGTAGTAATGAAATACATATATATGAGGCATTCTTTTTCGTATCGGACATACAATTTGGTGTCACACTTTCTTTGCGCTGCAAATTTTTGAAGCTGATTTACATAGTGAATACCAATAAATTAGGGATTTAAGGTCATACCCTCGTAATCCCTGATTGATTCTCTATGAAAACCATGTTTAAAAAAATGGGCGCTTTTCAAGATGTTTTAAATGCTGCCTAGCTTTATCTTTTTGCGCTGAATTGAGTGTGCGACGAAAACGAGGGTCCCAAAATAGAGCTGCAATAACCACGTCATTTTCAATCAACTCAAGTTCCCTTCTTTGTATGCATGTGAGAAGCGTTGTTGGCAAAGACGTTGTCGCTGCTTGCTCTTTTAAGAGAATTTTTATTGTTAGCCAGGACTTAAAAAAAATCTCCTAGCAATAACTGATGTTCTTGCAACTTAAGTGTCAGTGTATAAGCCGGCTTTAGGACATTCACCAAAGATTCAATCTCACCCCATTAATCTGAAGAAAGTGAGCCCTTCAGGTTATTTATGCACACATCTTTATAGAGCATTAACTTTTCCAGCATCATAAAGGTTGAATTCCACCTTGTCGGGACATCCAGCTGTGGCTTCCCCAAATTGAGAATTTGTAAAATATGACTGTTTTGAATAAATTTTTATTTTTTTTATCAACGTTTAAAACATTTCTTACCGAAAACTTGGAGTTCTTAAGGTTTTAACAATTTGTCTTGCTCGATCTATTAGCTGAGTTTTCGTGGAAACAAAATCTTTAATTGCTAGCTGAAGGGTGTGGGCAGCACATCTTATGGAGGTTATATTGGTGTTATTCCATCCAGTTGTTGGCTAAAATAGTATTTTTTTATGATTTCTTTCAAATATGCATAGATTTCAAAGATAATACGTAAACAGCAACTATTTTTTGATTGTAGGAAAAATTGCACTTTAAGCGTCTAAAATACTTTAGGAAGTCGGCGCAAAAAAAATCATTGTAGTGCAAGCATGAAAAGGCTAATTTTTGGAATTAACTAAAATATAGTTTTTAACTACTTCTGGGTACTTTCTGTGGCGTTATTCGATCAAACAAGCCGCAGACTCTTCAGGCCCTCAAGAGCAACATTTGCCAAGAAATCGACCATCTAACGCCAGAAGTCTTCAAAATTCTGTAAACTGAGGCGAAATTTCTATCAACTCTGTTGGCAACCACCCATCAGATATAATTTTCCAATCATAAAAAAATTAAATTTATGGCACCTAGTAAACATATGCCGCTAAAATATAACTATACTTTAAATATTTTTGGAATGACAGCAAAAGAAAATAGGGTTATTCTTTTTGCGACAGATTGTATGTACCTTTAGATTCTAAATATTTCTATGTATGTATGTGTATTTGAGTGGTCCAAAAACAGTAAAGTCGGAGTTGTAATGCTCTCACCCCCTAGGATTGTTTTATATGGAAATTTGAGTATATGCCTATTTTTTATTTTGAAATCAAAAAATATTTAGAGGTCGCTCAAAGCGCCCAAAGTTTTCCATGTATTTTTATTAAAAAAAAACAACTTTTCGTAGAAATAGTATAGAATTCTTGAAAATCAATGTCCTTCGATCTGAAAACTCTAGTTCTCTTCAAGAGACTTTCAATAATACTACACTATTGTTTATTTAATAATTTTTTAATACTAACGATTTTTTATTGGTCCGCCCATTGCATTTTTCGGGGTTTTATAGGTTTTCTTCGGACCTATAAATTATAGTTGAAAAAAATGGTTAGATAAACACTTGAGTATTATTATTGGGAATGCATGTATGTAGTATCTATCGCATCCCCTAAGCACCTTGGCCATATAGCGTTGTAATGGATATCAGCATTAACCACAAATTTATAGTAAGTTTGACATATATTAAGAGTCAAAACTGAGCACAAGTTAAAGAAACAATTTAATGAAAAAAGTGGAGTTTTCGAATGTCGAGAACAGAGTGATATTAGTTATTATTAATGGTCTTTTTAAAGAATTCTTGTTTAAAAACACTTATATTTGTATGTATAATTTTGGGCAACGGAAAGAGAATTTCCTTAGAAAAGACTCTTACTAAGCAACGTAAAGAAAAAAAGTCGAAAATATAAGTTACGAGCAACGAAAAAGAATTTTCATTGCGAATAACTCTTATCATGCAACGTAAAACGTGAAAAGTCGAAAATAAAAATTATGGGCAACGGAAAAAATTTTGTCTTAGGAATAACTCTTACCAGGCAACGTAAAATCAAAAACGCCGAAAATAAAAGTTATGAGCAACGGAAAACATTTTGTCTTGAGAATAACTCTCACTGAGCGACGTAAAAGCAAAAAAGTCGAAAATAAGACTTACGAGCGAGGGAAAAAAGATTATATTGTGAATAACACTTATAGGGAAGCAAAACATATTCTGGGTTAAAAATAACTATTAGTAAAGTAACAAAATCTTATTTAAATTTAATTTATTAGTAATGGACCAATTTTTTTTCCTTATAACAGTTATGTCTCTGCTCATACTTACATACATATTTAAATTTGCTTGCAGATCTTCAATAAAGTTTTGATGGAAAATCCTGAGATCGTGAATAAAATTCAAGTCGTGAAAGGTGATGTGGTGGAAGAAGGCCTCGGCTTGAACGCAAATGACACCAACGAATTAGCAGCGAATGTTGAAGTGATATTTCATTGTGCTGCCAATGTCAGATTTGATCAGCCTCTTCGCCCAATGATTCGTATGAATGTTGCCGGCACATTAAAATTACTCCAGCTAGCCGAAAAAATGACTAGCCTTAAAACTCTCGTGCACGTGTCTACATCATATTGCCAGTGTAATGAAAGTGTCCTGGAGGAGCGCGCTTATCCAGCACCACAAAATCCTTACGATATAATAAAAATGGTGGAGGAAATGAATGATGATGCTTTGAAAGAAATAACACCAAGGTAGGCAAGCAGGCATACATACATATCGTTACCTTAATACATATGTATATCAATGCCCTATCTCACATAATCGCTGAAATAAAAACAGCCGTAACTAACTATAAATCCCAACCTCACTTTTTGATTGATTATGATGATGATGAGGCCTTTCTATATTAAGGTACCGATATGTTCATTTTGCATTCATTCTTATGAAGAGTATTAAATCCAAATTTGAAATGTTTAATAAATGTTATGAACTAAATACCTCGCAATTCCATGCGATGATATCGCACACGATCTTCAAAGGTGGCACAACTCAAAATTATACGTTTGTCAGAAAATGTGAAAACCATTTCTTAATACATGCTAACCATATATACAAGGGAGAGTTTACTTAGGGTTTTTCAACAAATTATAAGAAAAATTTGCTCTGGTTTTTGCTGTAAAGTAAATAAGACTCTTATGTACAATTTTAGCGAATAATTTCAAAAATGCCAAAAAAACTTCAAACGCCCACTGACACCTTTTAAAATTGGAATACAAATTTTTTTAAATGGGAGAATTTTTTTCTCAGTAAATCAGGGACCGTAACAGTTACAACTTTTATTAAAAAAATCGCTCTTTAACAATTATTTTTTTACCTTTATTTAATTACTCCTTAAATAACAGTTAGTTTTGATTTTTACAGTTATAGAAGACTTTTATTTATAAAAGTTGTAAATAAAAATCAGTTAAAATCATTTAAAAAATAAAAGTCGGTGACTGATTTTTATTGATGACTTTTAAAACTAAAAGTCATGTTTATTGATGACTTTTACTTAACTTAACTGCGAAAAATGTTAATGACTTTTATATGAATGATTCCCTCCTGGACATTCCACCCATAGTAGGTATAGGTTAAAGGTATCGCAGCTAAAAGTACTCTACGACTCATTGCATCTAACAGGCTGCGAACAACTTGCAAGGGTCACGCCACAATCCTCGAGAGAGTGGAGTACAGCAACTGTTACTTACAACACACGGAAATTGACTTCAATCGAAATTTCGAAATCCATTTTTTTGACAGAAGTGACTGGGAATTTAGTATTGCTCTCAGCGATGATGAAATACCTACCTTCACGTACGGCTCGAAAATGGATATCGGAAGAGAATTAACAATCCATATGGCGGCAAGGTTGGTGAGCATGATCGACCTAGCTTCATCTAAACTTGCCTTCGTTGTTGACATTCAGGCGGCTATGAAAGCCTTTGGGTCGGAAATGACCAACTCTATATGCATTAAAGAACGCCGAATATCCCTAGAAGCTCTACAACGACACATAAGTTGCGTTTTTTTACTCATTTCCAGTAAAATCCAGTAAACGTTTTTACATATTTTCATGTTTTGGCGTTTTCGTACGCAAAGACTTGCAAAGTAGGGGAAATTAAGAGAGCGAAAAATGACGAATGAATGAATGAAATTGCAAGTTTTCACTGGATTTTACTGGATAAATTTTTACTTGTAAGAACTTGCCAGTACGAAAAACAGCTGATTGCATGTTGCTGGGTGAAATTTAAACTAATAAGGAAACTGTTTGTGGGATTTTATTGTTGAATTTCACAAAATAAATCTGTTTAAATACAAAATATATTGTTTTATTAGGAATTTGCTGCGAATAAACAACCAATTTATCAGCTGTTCATGAAACTTGCAAATTATTACTGGAAAAGCGTTCGCGTACTTTATTGCAAATTTTTTTCTATGAGGGCGAATTCTTAGAAATAAATTTACTGGAGAGTTGCTGGCAAGTTACTGGATAATTTGTAAAAAAACACAACAATAATCAATCTTTATATGGTCCTGCGGAAATGAGGAAGTGAACGAATTTGCTAAGAAGGGATCTGGGACGGGGCTCGGGGAAGCAATCCACATCGTCAAACCTCTCCTGCGATTTCTGTATTCAGAATTCGCGAGACTGACTAGGGCAGCTACCAACAGTAGGCGGAAAAATCTGCACAACTGCAGGCTATCGCGCTCGCTCTGGCCACGGCTCGATGAACGAAGAACAAGGAGTCTACTAAGGCTTTCAAAGCCAAACGTTAGGCTTCTCACAGGAATACTAATGGAACATTGGACCATTGGCCACATGACCGCCAGGTTCGGAGCCCCGCATAATGATTTCGTTAGAAGCTGCAGGGATGAAGAGGAGTTAGAATCCGTCCAGCATTTCCTTTGCGAGTGTCCAGCATTTCGAGGAAAACGCCTCAAGTTTCTTGGGGACAATTTCTTCGAGAACCTGGATACCTTGGGTAAAGCTCCTCTGGAAGGACTGCTAGGATTCGCCAGAAAATCAAAATGGTTCGAAGACATGTAGGGATAGGCTTGGGGCATCGCAATGGGCCTTCGCGCCCTCGAGTGAACTCTTCGCTGAGCTGCCCGTTTAACCTAACCTAACCCTATATGAATGATTTAAAAATTAATAGTCGTTGACTGATTTGTATTGCTGACTTTTAAAAGTAAAAGTCATCGACTGATTTTTATTGATAACTTTTATAAATAAAAGTCTTCAGTAACTGTTATCTAAGACATATAGTATAAAAATTAGAAATAATTGGTATTTTGGATTTATAAAATAAAAAACAGAAATACTCAGAGACATAACTGTTATAAGGAATATCGAAAAAAATTGGTCGATAACTATTAAATTAAATATAAATAAGATTTTGTTACTTTACATAATAGTTATTTTTAACCCAAAATATGTTTTGCTTCCCTGTAAGTGTTATTCACAATATAATCTTTTTTCCGTCGCTCGTAAGTTTTATTTTCGACTTTTTTGCTTTTACGTCGCTCAGTGAGAGTTATTCTCAAGACAAAATGTTTTCCGTTGCTCATAACTTTTATTTTCGACGTTTTTGATTTTACGTTGCTTGGTAAGAGTTATTCCTAAGACAAAATTTTTTCCGTTGCCCATAATTTTTATTTTCGACTTTTCTCGTTTAACGTTGCATGATAAGAGTTAGTCTCAATGAAAATTCTTTTTCGTTGCTCGTAACTTATATTTTCGACTTTTTTTCTTTACCTTGCTTAGTAAGAGTTTTTTCTAAGGAAATTTTCTTTCCGTTGCCCAAAATTATAATACAAATATAAGTGTTTTTAAACAAGAATTCTTTAAAAAGACCCTTAATAATAACTATAACAGGTCTTTGGCATCAAAAAACGTCCCTTTTGGTCTGAAAAAAAGTCATTTCCTACCCAAAAACGTCTTTTTCAAATGTATGCACAGAGAATTGCTCTTATTAAACTTTTATTGTATACAAAGGTACATAAGTATTTACGTAAAGTATATTAAAATATCATTTCGACAGAACACATTTAAAATTCATTGTAAACTGCTTTGAGATCGTTATATAATAACCTCCTCCTCCAAGGTTAAAAATCATTTTATACATACACTTGTGATCAGCTGATTAAGTCATCAACATTTTGATCGATTGTGGCTGCTTTTCTTTTGTTTATTTAATGTTTATTACTTTTGCATAAAAGCCTAGCTTTTTATAAAACAAACAAAATATAAAACCACATTTCTAACTTTGTGCAAAAATTATATAAAATCTGCAAAATCTCAGCCAGATTTTCACCTTTTATTGAGATTTTTAGGATTTTTTTTTTTGAGTATGCTATCAAGCCTATGAAATTCCGAGGTAATAATGTGCAAGTTTAAAGGGGCTAAATAATCGCGTTGATTTTTAATAGTTTTTTTTTTCTTGTAGCTTTTGGTTAGGTAATCGGTTGTCGAAAATGCTAAATTACGGTCTGCTAAGAAGGAACATAGCAATATTTCAGCCGTTTTTGCGTTCATTACATTTTCACGGCAGTCTTAAAAAAGTCGCCTACTTTTTTCTGACTTTTTATGCTGCTACAGCTTTTTTGATGCTTTTGCGAGCATGCGTGTTGCAATAGATCAGCTCTTCCTGATTTGGCTTTTAATGTGTAATTGCAAACATTGCAATAAGCTCGTAACTTCAAGTGTTTACAAAACCAGCCTTTGAACGCGAGATCGTTAGTCCAAAAATCCAAAAAAAATGGCGCGTCCGCTTGGTTTGCATCATAGTTAAGTCATCTGTGTCCAAAGAATAAATATATTTTGTAGAAAAGTACTACGAAAAAAAAAGCTTGTAAAGATTTGTTAAGAAAATAATTCAAAATTAGTTCTACTTACAAGATTTAGTAACAAAGAATTACTGGGAAGTTAAAAAACGTCATTTTTACACAAAAAACGTCCGAACGTCAACAGGATACAAAAAACGTCCAAATGACGTTAAAAACGGCAACCTGGTAACGCTGGTTACAAGTTTGAAAAAGTAGACGACTTCGTTTATTTGAGAACCAGCATTAACAGCAATAATAATGTCAGCCTTGAAATCCAACGGAGAATCACTCTTGCCAACAAGTGCTACTTTGGGTTGAGTAGGCAATTGAGAAGTAAAGTCATCTCTCGTCGTACAAAGATCACTCATCATGCCTGTGCTGGTGTGTGGCGCGGAGGCATGGACAATGAAAGCATCTGATGAGCGGCTCTTGGAGTTTTCGAGAGAAAGATTCTGCGAAAGATTTACGGACCTTTACGCGTTGGTGATGGCGAATATCGCAGGCGATTTAACGATGAGCTGTATGAGCTTTACTACGATATAGACATATTTAGTGCAGCGAATTAAAATTCAACGTCTCCGCTGGCTTGGCGATGTCGTTCGAATGGACAGAAACGCTCCTGCTCTGAAAATATTCAACGCGGGCCGCGATGCTGGTAACAGAGGAAGAGGAAGGCCTCCTCTGCGTTGGAAAAACCAGGTGGAGAAGGACTTGGCTTTACTTGGCATTTCCAATTGGCGTCAGCTAGCACAGAAGAGAAATGACTGACGTGATGTTTTGGACTCGACCAAAATCGCTTAGGCGGTCACAGCGCCAATAAAGAAGAAGAAGAAACTAAAAAGCGTAAAGATATCTTTAGAATGTTTTTGAGGCGTTCAAAGAGGATTGCCACCTGTTTGAAATTATCCAAATTAATTACTTATATTTTAAATGCATTTTGATTTGTGATCTTTCAGCTAAATAATATTCTTTTAGGCAACGCAACTACTTCGGGATTTTTGGGACTAATTCGGAATTTTTGGGACTATTTCGATATTTTCGGGGTTCTCGGGAATATAACGGGATTTTTGGTACTAATTCTGTATTGTTGGGACTATTTCGGGATTTGCGAGACTTCCTCCAGATTTTCGGGGTTCTCGGGGTTATTTCGGGATCTTGGGGATTTTTAGGACCAATTCGGAATTTTTAGGACTATTTCAGGTTTTTGAAACGATTTCGAGATTTTCAGGATTTGTGGGACTATTTCGGGATCTTCGGGACTACTTTGAGATTTTTGGGCTATTTCGCGAAATTTTGGGACTGCCAGATGTCCTGGTCTTGCAGGATTGGTCATGGTTACAAATAAATTGTATCCGAAATTCCGAA